AAATTAGGATTCAGACCAAACAGTAATGTATTATCATAACCAACCAGACAAATTAGGTCATATCTCTGGAAAAGTTTAGGATATCAGAATGATTCAGGTATCAAAAGTAGCTTTTAAAGCAGGAATCTGAAAATGTAATTAGGCCATTTTGACCATATTTGACTCATTATTTTGATTTGAGGGGTCACAAATAACAAAGAGTAAAAAAAGAAAGAAATTTTTGCCTAAAAAAATCACAAAAAAAAGTTAAATGAAATGTTTTGAAATGAATCTGGTACCAGATTGTTTTATTTCTCTCATTAAATTGACTCTCCATCAATGATAATTAAATATTGTGGCTGATAACCAASTCATCAGGTTTTTCTTGTTTGTTTTCTGTCATTACTTTTCTCAGCTGTGGTTAATCTTTTCCCTTCTCAGTCTCCTGAACTGTTGGCTCAGGTGGAGGAAGAAGCCATCAGACTCTCTGAGGAAATCAAAGCAGAATACTGGGCCGTGTCCGCAAAGTCAGGTGGGATACAAACCCACCCGTAACTAGTTTTAGTTTTTTTTTTTCTTCCCACTAAACCCTGCTCTCTGTGTCTGGTGTCTCAGGAAACGGAGTCAGGGACTTCTTCTTACGCGTGGCGTCTTTGACTTTTGAGGCAACTGTTCTGGGTGAACTGGAGCGAAGCGGGTCGAGGCAGGTCAAAGACATAATCAGTGAGAAAAGGCTCTTTTTAATTCTTTTTAAAAAATGGTTGTAAGACCTTGAAGGTTTCATTTCAACATGTTTCTGTGATGCATTCAGGGATCACGGACAGCACAGAGGACAAACCAGGATCGAAGAGAAATCCCAACTGTTGCTGAACCTCTAACGTTTTTTTTAAGTGACTGCTGAGCAGAAACAGCATGGACTCAGTGTGAACATCAGTGTCAGCTGATAGCTTGATAACGGCCTGCAGAAGGAATTAGTCTCGATCCAAGCTGTTCTTCAACATAATGAACTCWGTGTTGAGTCTGTAAACAAGTCTGTCAGCAGGATTTTTACTGCTGACCGGCCTGCAACAAGCCAGGCTTTGTTTCTGTGCTTTTACAAATATTTATTAAAAAGGAAGACTGTTGTCTGAGTTGGTGACTTTATTAAAGATGCATTTTTTTACAGTTTTGGTTAAGATGCCAGAATAAAAACCCACTGCATTTTATTTTTCTTTGCTGGTCTACCATCACGTGTTCCTGCTCTAAGAGACCACTGATTGTACCCATAATGCTCCTCTCTCCTCTGACACACTCACATGACCTTTAAATAGAGGGGTTGTTTGCAGGAATGCAACAAAACCACCTGATTCCCTCAAGATTCAAAAAAGAATTCAGGACTTTGTCAGCTTGTACGTCATGATGTCTTTCTTATTTCACATAACTTCTTAAAGTTTAAAACATGTTTGCTTTTTTTCTACAGTATATTTTAATGTAACGGAATAAAAGTGAATCAATGAAACAGTTTTTTCAGTTCTTTGAAGATGTGGGACATTTCTTCCAGGATAAATCGATGCATGTTTTTTTATAGCTGTGCGTCACTTAGATGCATTTAAAAATATATATTTTTAAAGAACAGCATCGTAGCATCTGCAAAACACTGATTTGTAAATATACTAATTATAGATTTTAATTTATTTT